TATTACATTATGTCTATTACATCTCCCGTTTCTTACAAATCTAAAGTGTTAGAAAGGCTTGTCTGCATCATTGTGTTATAGAAAGAGACACTGTCGCTTTAGATATGTTTATTGATAAGATGTTTGAATATGCATCTGACATTTTGGAATCGCTGTTATTGCTTTAGAAGGTTTGAATGAAAATGTGAAGGTTAGAAAAAAAAGGAAATAGAGAAAAGAAGAGAAATAGAGGAAAGAAAAGAGATAGAGGAAAGAAGAGAAAAAGAGAGAAAAAAAGAAATAGAAGAGAAAAGACAAAGAGAAGAGGAAAAAAATAGAGAAAATAATAGAAATCGGGAAAAGAAAAGAAACAGACGTAAGAAGAGAAAAGAGAGAGAAAGGAAAAGAAACAGAAGAGAAAAGACAAAGAGAAGAAGAAGGAAACAGCGAAAATAATAGAAATAAAGAAAAAAAAACATACGAAAGAAGAGAAAAGGAGAAAAGAAAAGAAACAGAAGAAAAAGGGTAAAGAGAAGAAGAAAAAGAAAAAACCAAAACAAAAAAGCAGAATTATCCATATATTATGATCGTACCCGACGTCACGTTCAGTAATGTTTTATAGCATAAAATGTATCGAAAAAAGGCGATGAAGTCCTTAGGCTTTCCACTGCGATCCATCTTTCTCCTCCGTTGCTTATCAATCCGGTAATGTCACAGTGACATCGGAATAATTAGGAGATTAATAATTAACTATAAGATCATTAAGAAAATATAATTACGAAAGGATTTTTATATCTTTTTATTTTTAACTAGTTCATTTTTTGGATTGAAGAATGCAGTGAAAGAATTAATGATAACGATGATGATAATACTGATAACAATGATTATAATAATGATGATTATGATAATGATGATAGTGAAAAGATGATAGTGAAAATGATAATGGTATAAATGGGGATAATAATGACAAAGACAATGATTAAAGTAATAAAAATAATGATAATGATGATAGTAATGATAATAATCATGGTAATAATAATAACAATGATGATGATAATAATTATGATAATAAAAATGATGACAATAATAATGATGATGTTGATAATGATAATAATGATGGAAATGATAATAATAATGATGGAAATGATAATGATAATAATGATAATAATTATAGTAATACTGTTGATAATAACAGTAATAATGATAACAGTAATAACAATAATAATGTGCTAATAAATAATAAGAACATTACAATGCTGATAATCATAGCAGTAAATCCCAGCCAGGTGAACAGTAATGAATATTAAATATTCCTTTGAAGTTGCAAATATATGAATTATTAAATAGGTTGCTCATCATTAAATGTGATTTTCTCATACTTAACGCCGCATTGCTAGCTGTTGCAGTTGTATCACTGTATCGTATTATTGCTAAAAAGATACATTCATATTGTATGTATGGCAACAAGGTATTTTTTTTAAAGGAAAGTAGTGTTGCTGTAACCGTCCACTGTACCCTAGCTCTAGTACAAGCCACTGCACTCTCGATTTAGTACCGCCCACTGACACTTATTCTAAAACAAGTGTACTGTGGTCCGCCCACTGTACCCTCACCCTACAACCGCCTTCTGTACCTTCACACCGCCCGCCCACTGTACCGTCACTCCGCCCGCCCACTCCGCCCTCACTCCAACACCGCCCACTGTACCCTCACGCCGCCCGCTCACCGCCCCCCCCCGTTCCCACAGGCGCGCACTCGCTGTAACACAGAGCTAAACAACCTTGGCTTTGTGTTGATTCCTGTCATTTAAACATTATGATCCTCATGATAATTCGATTTCGGCGTTAATTCTCTTCGCTCCACTTCCGGTTGGCTCTCGTAACGAGGTTTGTGAGGGAAGGTTTGTGTCGAGAGGATGGAGAATCGCTTCTTTTTTGTTTTTCTTTCCTTCTTTCTTTCTTTTTCTCTTTTGTTTATTATCTTTTTTGGAGGAGTGACTGGTTTATTTTGTTTTTCTTTCTGTCTTTCTCTCTCTCTCTTTTGTCTTTTTTTTTTTTTTTTTTTTTTTTTTTTTTTTTTTTGAGGAGTGACTGGTTTATTTTGTTTTTCTTTCCTTCTTTCTTTTTTTTTCTCTTTTGTTTATTATCTTTTTTGGAGGAGTGACTGGTTTATTTCTTTCTTTCTCTCTTTCTCTTTTGTCTATTTTTTTTTTTTTTTGAGGAGTGACTGGTTTATTTTGTTTCTTTCTCTCTTTCTCTCTTTTTTTTTGGAGGAGTTACTGGTTTATTATTTTTTTTCTTTCTTTCTTTTTCTCTTTCGTTTGTTTTCCTTTTTGGAGGAGTGACTGTTTTTTGTTTGTTTGTTTGTTTGTGAAGACTGCGTTGTTTTTATTATTTTTTGAAGCGTGGGATTTTTTTTTTTTAATTTTCTTCTTGTACCTTGTCCACGATTTCATTTATTGCTTTCTCTTTTCTTTTTCTTGCATTATCGTTTCTCTTTTCTCTCTTCCCTCTAATGCGCTTTAGCCCCTGAACTGAGCGGTGTCGACAACTTTATATTTCATGTTGACTCTCTGGCGTTAAGCGTGCGGCTGGACGGACTTTTTAGCGTCACATTTTGTACGTGTTTGCGTGTGTTCATTGCTCTGTGTGTATGTCTGGCGTGTGAATGCGTTTGTGTGTGTGTGTGCTTTATGTATATTTGATTGCGTGCGTCTGTCTGGTTCATGTGTGTGTCTGTGCTTTGGTTAGCACACACACACACACACACACACACAAACACACACACACACACACACACACACACACACACACACACACACACACACACACACACACACACACACACACACACACACACACACACATATATATAAACGCACACACATATTTATGCATGTATTTATCTATGCACCTGTGTCTTTTTTCATATATTCGAATATTTTCATGTGTGTGAATGTATGCACACGTTTTGTAACCCCCTTTGTTGCTTACCCCCCCCCGCCCCCCGGCCGCCATGGCTGTAATGTAGTTCTGAAAAATTACTACTGCGTTCCTTATTTCATGGCTTTTGTTTAATCTTGTAATAGAACACTTGCAACAGAGCACTTGCGACAGAGCACTTGCAACAAAGCACTTGCAACAGAGCACTTGCAACAGAGCACTTGCAACAGAGCACTTGCAACAGAGCACTTGCAACAAAGCACTTGTAACAGAGCACTTGCAACAGAGCACTTGTAACAGAGCACTTGCAACAGAGCACTTGCAACAGAGCACTTGTAGGAAAGGGAGAAAGTGTTACCTAGGGTAAAGAGTGAAAGAGAGTTAGGAAAATGGATTGACCTCCTCTGCTGCACATGGATTACTCTCAGTGATAATTCAAATTAATTAATTCAAATTACATACTTACATTGGCTATTTCTTGGACCGTTTATTTACTTTTGCTGATGTTCAAAGGAATTTATTTATTTGAATAGTTAGCTTTTTGTGCATCCAGAGGCTTCATATAAAATTGCGTGGTGGTCCTGCAAGGGAGATAATGATAATGATAATGATAATAATGATAATAATAATAATAATATTAATAATGATAATGATCATAATAATAATAATAATAACAATAATGATCATAATAATAATAATAACAATAATAATAATAATAATAATAATAATAATAATAATAATAATAATAATAATGATAATAATGATAATAATAATAATGATAATAATAATAATAATAATGATAATAATTACAATATTAATCATAATGATAATAATTATAATAAGGATAATAATGATGGCAATAATGATAATTATGATAATAATAATAATAATAATGACAATAATAATAATGATAATGATAGTAATAATGATAATAATAATAGTAATAATAATAATTATAACAATAATAACAGTATTGATAATAACAATTATAATATTAAAGAAAATAATCATAGTAATAGTGATGACAATAATAATATTAACAATAATAATAATTATAGCAATAATAATAGTAATGGTAATAACAATAATGATAATAATGATAGTAATAATAATGATAATGATAATAGTAATAATGATTACAATAATAATAATTCTTCTGGTTTTAATCCGTAGTCAGGGTCGCCGGTGCGGATTTTCTCTTCCACTTTGCTCTGTCCTCTTTTTTTCTCTTCATTAATGCAATGCTCCCATCTTCTCTTCGGCCTCCCTCTTTTCCTCCCGCCCACCTGTAACTGTCTCCTTCCTGCGTAGTCATTGTCCCTCCTGACGACGTGTCCCAGAAATCGTAATCTACTTTCCTGCCATTTCCCCTTCTTTCAATCTCTCTCTTATTTCTTCATGTCTCACTCTATCCCGTCTCGTGAGTCCCAGCGACCGTCTTAACATATTCATTTCCGCAACCTGCGTCTTCCTTCCTGCGCCTTTGTTTCACCCGTACATCATCGCCGGTCTCATCATCGTCTTGTACATCCTCCCTTCACAGCGTATGATACCTTTCTGTCGCACATCACACCTGCTATTTTCTTCCATGCTCCCCTTCCTGCCTGTATCCGTTTCGTAACTTCCCTCTCTGACCCATCATCTGCCTGTACAGTGGATTCCAAATACTTGTTTAACAACTTTACCTTACATTTTTACTACCCTTTCCTCCTCCTGCCTCTCCTCTTCGTCCCCTGCATTCCTTTTCATGTATTCGGTTTTCTGCCTGCTCACTTTCATACCTCTTACTTCTATCGCTTCTCTCCACAACTCCAGCCTCTGTTCTACCTCCTCCTTTGTCTCTGCACTCACTACAACGTCGTCTGCAAATAGCATATCCCACGGGACCTCCCTCTGCATCTGTCCCGTCACACAATTAATAATGACTGCAAACAAGAAAAGGTTAAGCGCTGAGCCTTGATGCAGTCCCACCGTGACCTCAAACTCCCCTGTGTCACCCGCTGCACATCTCACTAGTGTCTTGTTACCCTCATACATCTCCTGTACCAGCCTGATGTATTTCTCTTCCACCTCCTTTAGCCTCAGACAATTCCACACTTCCTGCCTCGGGACCCGATTGTACGCTTTCTCTAGGTCAATGAAGATGCAGTGCGACTCTTCTTGCCCCTCTCTGTACTCCTCCATTACTTGGCGGAGTGCATATGTTACATCCGTTGCGCTCCTGTTGGGCGTGAAGCCGAATTGCTGCTCCGATACGTCAAACCTGTTCCACAGCCTCTTGTCTATAATTCTTTCCCACATCTTTAGCACGGGTGAAGTAAGTTTGATGTCCCGGTAGTTTCCACAATCCTGGATGTCACCCTTATTCTTAAATAATGGTATCGGAGTGCCATCTCTTCATTCATCTGGCAGATGTTCCGTCTCCGTGATCTTTCTGAACACTCCCGTTAGCCACTACTTCCGTTTTCCTCATAGCCTTCCACGCTTCTACCGGTATGTCATCCGGTCCTACCGTTTTCCCCTCTTCATCCGTTTCATCACCTCTTCTTCTCTCACTTCCTCTGCCTCCTTTCCGCTACTGTCTCCCGTTCTACCCTTGGGCTCTCTACATTCATCAGTTGTTGATAGTATCCTTCCACCTCTCCCTTACCTGTGTCTTCGGTTAGTACCTGTCCTTCACTATCTTTCAGTCTTTTTGCTTTGCACACGTCCTGTGCCTCTTTGTTCTCATTTTTGCTATCTGATAGCATTTCTTTGACTAAGCTACTATACAAATCCTCGAATGTCCTGCTTTTGGTCTTCGCCACTTCTCTCTTGGTCTTTTTACTTGCCCTTTTGTAGGCTGCAATAGTCTCCTCGCACCTGTTTAGATCTTCTTCCGCTTTCCTCTCTTTCTTTTCTTTGACTGTCTCTTGTACACCACCACCAAGTCTCCTCTTTCTTCCCTTTCTTTCCCGAAGTACGTCCTCGTATTTCTTCTCCTGTTCCCTGGACTAAACTGCTCAATGTACTCCACGTCCTCTGCTCTTCCTCTTCCAGTTTCTTTCTTCTCCAGTTCCTTGACAAACTCATCCACCAGCGCGTTTTTTGTGTCCTGACCTGTTTCGTTTTTTCTCAGTTGTTTCATCCTTACTTTACAGACCACTAGTTTATGCTGCTTGGTCACAGCTTCTTTTGGTAGGACATAACAGTCCTTTACTTTCTGAAGATCCTTTCTCCTGCACAAGATGTAGTCAACTTGTGTGTTTTGTCCACCGCTAGTTTAGGTTGCTCGACGAGTTAGTCTTTTCTGAAAGTGGGTGTTAACCACTGCCATGCCATGCTGTCCACAGTTCTGTCTCCTCCTTCATTCCGTGTTCCAACTCCGTACTCTCCTTTAACTTCTGTATCAAGGCTCCCTCCTGCAACGTGAGCGTTAAGATCCCCCGCGATCCAGACTTTTCCGCATCCGCTATTTTCACCATCACGCCCCCGAGCAGATCCCAGAAATCGTCGTTTTCCTTTTCTGTGCACCCCACTTGAGGTGCGTTCATGCACACACCGTTGACCGTTGTTTCTCCTATCTCGACCTTTAACCATATTACCCTGTCGGACTCCCTGTTCACCTGTGCAGTCCCCTCTTTCATGTCTGGACTCGGCACCACGCCTAGTCCATTCCTCTCCCGTGTAGTACAGCTTGCATCCATTTCCCAGCTCCTTGGCCTCCTGTCCTCTCCATCTAGTTGCTTGAGCATACAACACGTCTATTTTCTTCCTGCATTGTATCCACCCCTTCTCTTCCCCTTCCGGTCATTGTGCCCGCGTTCATTGTTGCCATCACAAGCGTGCTGTCTTCCACCTTTTTCTTCCTCCCCCCCCCCCCCCCCTCCGAGCTATCTTCTTTAACCTTACTCGCCCCTGGTAAGCCAGCTTTGTCCACTTCTCGCACTGTGCGGCGATGTTGCTGTGCATCGCTTGCGGTTTATGCCCTAGCTTTATCTCTGTTCCTTTGTATCTGCATCTTCATTACTGTTTGGCACGTTTTTACGACCGGATGCCCTTCTTGCCGTCAACCCTCCCCATTTACCCGGGCTTGGGACCGGCCGATGGAGGCACTGGGTTGTGCGTCCACCAGGCTGGGTTATGATAATAGTAATAGTCATGATAATAATATTAATAATAATAACAATGATAGTAATAATAATGAAAATAACAATGATAATAATAATAATAATATTGATAATACTACTACTACTTATCATAATAATGATAATAATAATAATAATGATAATGATAATAATAATAATGAGAGAAATAATAATAATGATAAAAGTAATATTATTGATAAATAATAATGATAATATTGATAAGCTAGTCCTTGCTACGGATATTATATGTATGTATGTTTGTATGTGTCTGTGTGTGTGTGTGTGTGTGTGTGTGTGTGTGTGTGTGTGTGTGTGTGTGTGTGTGTGTGTGTGTGTGTGTGTGTGTATATGATTCTGTCTTCATATACGTGTCAGTGCATCTACCTGTCTGTGAACGTAGGTCTGTGTATACGAGTGTACGTAGCTATGTCTTGATTCATGAACGTGCGTGC